GGTGTTTTTATATGCATTTAAATACAAAATACAAATATATATGAGCGGAGCGTATGACACATAAATTTTTATAATTTATATGTATGTATGCAAGTAAGCAATTTTATTAATTATTTTATTTTTCCTTTACATTAAAATTTTTTATGTAAGTGAGAATGATGATTAAAGATTTATGTATGAGAAACATTTGTATTTGTATATAGGGCGAGAGTATTTATGTATTTATGTATGCTTGTATATGTAAAAGTAGTACACAAATATATAAATATGACACATATGTATGTAGTTTAAGTAGTGAAGTAAAATAACTGTTTTTCGCTTGTTAACATGTTGTTTATGTATGAGTAAGTGTTTGTGTGTCATGCACGTTGGTATGTTTCAAAAATCTAATGACCGTCTATCTGCACATTAATATGTATGTGTTTTTTGTATGTGATTGTGCATTAATTATGAAGCTTAAATGTCGCATTTCCTCACTCTCTCGTATGCAGCGCATATTTACAAAATTTAAAAGTATGTAAGTATGTTTGTGTATGTTCTTAATTTCTTTGTATGCTGATTTTTCTACAATATGGCAGTATTTTGTTACAAAATTTTTTGTTTGTAGTTTTTTATACGCACTCTCACCTTTTTAATTGTAAAATTAAATGCACATACATTTCAATGCATTTGTGTTAGTGTAGGGGCGGCATCTGTGCGCTATGGTATGTCCTTACTTGTTAATCATGTTAAGCAATTAATTTTTAATTAATTGTATAGTGCTTATATATACATATGTACATACGGCTTTTGTGAGTTTTTTTTTATGTCATCAAATCAGCTGGAATCCATTTGCTTCGAAATATTATCAATAAATAACGTTTTCTTCGATTTTTCCAAAAAAAATTAACAAACAAAATAAAAAAATTTAATAAAAAAAAAATAAAAAATATCAAATTAAATACGTTGTAATACATCTTTAAATTAATTCAATTTAAGTTTGTTTTAACGAACAGAAAATATATAGAATTTCTAACTAATTTAATTAACTGTTTTAAATTATCAGTAGATACTAATATGGTAGTAGTCTTTTAAGTAAGATTAAAAATATAATAAAAAAAAATTATACAAACCTGTGCTATTGTCTTAAATTAAAGAAAAAAGAAAGTTTTTTGGAGAAATAGAAAATTTAAAAATTTATAACGATATTTTTTAGTAATTTTGTTTTCAGAAAATTTCGTAGTTAAATCACAAATGCCTGTATATGAAGCATATAACAATGAATTCAAATTCTATCAACAAATAGCCATTTATTCAAATCCATTTATTTTTCTCGAATGTCAATCAAAAAAAATTTTTTTTTGAAAATTATTTAAACAAAGCATTATAATATTTTGTTTAAAAATTTATGTTTTCTTTTAAGTAACACAAAAATCTCCTTAGCAACAATTTCAACATATTTTTACACTTTATGTAAGACTCGATAGAATTTCACAACAATAAATACTGGATCAGCAGCGAAAAAAGTTCTATTAATATGAAAGTTGTTTATTGTTTTTGTTTTTTTTTTTAGTTGTCTTTTTGCGCCGATTTCATGTGCCCGGCCTAAATCCCTTTAAAATTTAACTCTCTCCTAAAAACAGTTTTTGGCAGTTAAGGAATTAATATTTGGTTCCTTCGGAAAGAATGTTTACTCAGTTCTTTCTTTAAATTATTTTAGTTTTTTATTTATTTTTAGTGCATTTAATTTTTCCGGTTTTATCTCCTGTTATTTATTATTATTTCAGTTATTTTTAAATATAACTTTATATATTCTTTACTTAATTTTAAAACTATTATTTTAAATTTTTTTGCTTTATTTAGTTTTTTTTTTGATAAATAAGACAAATTAATTTAAATTTAATTATATTTTGTATTATTGTTTGAATTTTATTTTAAATTAATTTAAATATCAGTTTTATGTTTTATCTAATAGATTAATATTTTACTTCAAAATAATTTCAATTTTAGTTTATTTTTATTGAAATTTATTTTATGGTATTTTGTATTTATTTTTATTACTAGTTTATTTTTTATTTTCATATTATTATTTTTTATTTCATTTTATTTGATTCATTTTAATTTGTTTCCATACATTTTTTTAATTATTTTTTGTTTTACTTTTAATTTAATTTTTATTTTGTTTACTATTATTTTATCCTATTTAGTCTTTATTTCAAATTAACTGCTTTAATTATATTTTTTATTTCACTTTTTTTGAGAATATTGAATTTTATTTTTTTAATTTCACTTACTTGAAATATATTTTATTCATTACGCCTTTTTGATTAATTATTCGTTTTGATTTTATATTGTATTATCTTTGCACAATATAAAATTATATTTTGTTTTTATATTAGTGTTTCATTTAAATTATAATTACTTTATTTTACCTTTTTTTACTTTTATTCTATATAATAAATTTATTTTAAACTTTAATATTTATTTATTTATTTTTTAATTTTATTTATGGTATTTTCTTTTCATTTTATATCATTTAATTGTATTCTATTTTAATTATGTCTTTGTTATTGTTATTTACTAATTCGATTTCAATTTGATTTAATTTTTATTATTTTTAATATTAAACTTTGTCTTAATTTGTTTTAATTTAATGAGCTATATTTTTTATTTTAATTTTTTTCTTTCTAATAATTTAATTTAGAATTTTTATATTATCTTATTTTATATTTCATTTCATTAGATTTTATTTAACTATTTATATTTTATTTTTATTTAATTTAATTTCATTTTATTTCAGTTTAATTTCTTTTTACTTTAATTTTAATTTTATTTCATGAAGTTTTATATTAGATTATTTAATTATGTTTTTACTATTCTATTTCATTTTAATTGAATTATATCTTACTTAATTTTATTTTTGTTTAATTTTTTTTTCTTATTTTTGTTAATTAATTTTTTTTCTTTTAGTTTAATTAAGTTTTAATTTAAGTTATTGAATTTTATTTTGATTGAATTTTATTTTAATCAGTTTTGTTTCGGTTTAGTTTTATTTCTTATATTCGTTAATTAAATTTTTTTTCATTTAATTAAATTAATCTTTTATCATTTCATTTAATTTAATTTTATTTGCTATCGGATTTATTTAAGTTTAAAATTATTTTAATTAAATCTCATGTAATCATTTTTCTATTGTTTTTTTTTTTTTCTTTTTTGTTAATTAAATGAACTTACTGCGTTGCTCTCAGTCAAAATTAGAGAAAAAAAACTATTTATCGAAAATTTCAAATTTGTTTAAATAAACGAAAATTTATTTCGCAATTTTTTACACAATTTTTAATTGTTGCTTAAAACTAATTAATAAATAGTCAGTTTTTTTTACAAACAAAATGTAGAAATTAAGAAAAGAGAGTTTGAATATACAAAAAGGACATAGCATATACAATACGAGTATATTATATTATATTTCAGCCATAATTAACACACAAACACACTTACACTTCTTCTAAGCAAAAATGTGTAAAAATACATGAATGAAAATTTATAAATATGTATGTATGTGTGTATGTAGATGCAAGTGTACACGAATTAGTTTAACAAATATCAGCTGTATGTCCTTGTCAACAATAATGAATGTCCTAGTTGGCGTCATTAGTGCGTTTCAACTGTAACTGTACGATTGTGTAAGTGTGTGTGTGTGTGTGTCTGTTAATGTGTTTAGTTAAATATGCATGTATGTATAGGTGTAAGAGTAATTAACTGTACATCAATGTTATTTTAATTATAAATATAACGTTTGGCAGTTTTGCTTGTTGTGTTTCTGTGGTGGGTATACATATATGTACATACATTGATTTATATATATATTTAAGTGTATGCTTGTGTGTGTGTTTGTATTGCAATAGTTTGTTTATTTTATATTAATTAAATTAAATATTTACACGCGTAGGCGAGCACTGCAGTAGGACAGCACGACATACACATGTGCACACGTGGTTTTGGCAAACAGTTGAGCGCAGAGCGTGAGTGAGGTGAGAGAGCGTGTGTGTGGGGTGGGTAGTGAGTTTGTTCGTACATCTGTATGTATTGGTGTAGTTAAATAAATTTGCATTACAAAGCGCGTGCATTAGATTTTAATTTTAATGCGCTTGAAGGCCCCACCCCCCCTTTCACTCTCTTCGCTCTGTGTGTGCTCTCAGCCACAAAGTTTTGCTAATTTTTGTGTTTGCCACCAGTGCGATGCTCGTTACGCAGTTAGCCTAACTAAGTATAGCCATGTAGGTACACGGAATTTATATAGTGCATTATATACTTAAAACTTATGCTTATACATATTTATATATATATATATTTATTTTAGCTATTTACACTTATGAGAGTTTATTATACATATATATTTATATGAGGAAAATTGAGTTTACATACATAACTATTGTACATATGACATACGTTTATCATCGTCATTATAATCATCGTCGTTATTAACGGCGTCTATATCATTAACACAATCACTTTGTTCGGTTATGTATTATTTTATTATATTTTTTTACTCTAGAACTGGCATTTGTGCTTTATTTATTATTTTTATTTCTTTTTTATTTTTTGTTTTTTATTTTTTATTTATTTATTTATTTATTTCACTGGGTGTTCAAGTAGCTGTGGTCCTAGTTGAATTCCGTCATACATTTATATATATATTTTTTTTTAATGCAATTTGGTTAATTTTTAAGAGCTTTTTACAAATTTAAATAAAATTTTTTATTTTTTTAACTGCTCTCTAGCTCAGGCAGGGGCGCAATTCATTTATTTTTAATTTTTAAATATTTTATAAATTCAATTTACGCGCTTTTTATAAATAAATTTACATTTTTGTAACTACTACGCAGCATATATCGACACTTGACGCTTTCGTAAGGAAAAAATTGATAAGAAAATTTGTTTAATTTTTTTCTTTTTATTTTTAGTATAAACTTTTTATTTGCGCTTTAAAAAAAATAAATTTTTTAGTTAAAAAAAATTTTAGATATTCTTTAGTTTCCCTCTAAATATATTAACATTAAATTTATTTAATATAAAATTCATTTACACTTTTGTTGTGTTAGTTTCAGTGCCAGGAACCAGTCCTAAAAGTTTCACCACTACGTTCCTACTTAATAAATAAATTAGTATTTTTTGTTGTTTTTAATTTCCATTTGTTTATCTGTGCGTCGCTCGCAAAATTTTCTCCCTAGTTTTTGTGTTTAGTATTATGTTTTTAGGCTTTACTACTACATCTACACTAAATACGCCTGCACATGTGGTCCCTGCTGTTGGCCATTCGCCGCTGACACGGACGTTGTCGTTTGCGTCGTCGTCGCCGACATTTCACCTTCCCCTCGACGTTGCTTTTGATTTGGTTGCTGCTGCAGCTGCTGTTGCTGCTGCGGTCGCCATGTTTGTGACATATGCTGTTGCAGCTGCTGCTGTTGTTGGTGTTGTTGTTGTTGTTGTTGATGGCAACGCTGCAAGCTCTGCACTCCCGCGCCACCGTTGGGCGTTGGCGAGGGTGGCGGCATCATTAGCATGTTCTCATTGTCTAGCGTCGAATAGTCGGAATCGATGCTAGAGTAAATGTGCTCAGAGGGCGGTCGTATTGTGTACGTTTGACTGGGCGCTGTGGCGTGGTGATAATACTGACTATTGTTAGCCGCCGCGCTACCAGTGCTGCCACTCAGCTCAGCGCCACGTTGCGCTGCGGCCGCTGCAAGTGATGCTGCCTGCGCTGCGCTAGGATGCAGATGCGTGCCAACAATGGGGTGGTGTAGTGTGCTTGTGGCGGGCGTATTGCCATGCGCTGCGCCACCATGTTCACGTCGCTGTGGACGCGGGCTGGGTGTAGCTGTCGTGGCGGAGGAGTAGTTTGTGGGCTCGGCTCCGATAAGTTCGCCAGCAGCGCCGGCGATACCTTCAGTGCAGTAGGCAGGTGGTGGCGCTTGGCGGTAGAGTATGCCGGGACTAGCAGGCTGCTTGATGCGTTCATGATTGTGATCTAGTGTGTAGTTATTGCCAGGTACGCCCGCAACACCACCCCTATAGGTGGGGTAGTCCACGGGCAACGCATAGTGTAGCTTCTCCCAAAAGTGGCGATCGTTGCGACGTATGCGATGCACTGCAGATGTTTTCAAGTAGGGCAGCAGCTCGATATCGCTCTCCGCCTCGAAGAGCACTTCGGGCTCCTCAATAATGACCAGCTTTTCTGGACGACCACGCAGCGCATCGTGTACGGCACGCCGCAGTTCGCAGCGCGACCATTCAGTCTGTAGAAAATTGCGTGACAGCAGTATGACAACACGTCGTGAGACGCGTGAGGCCTCCAACAGCTGATAGTGTGTAGCATCATGCGCGAGATCACGATGTTGAAGGCAAACACGTAACGGTCGTCGACCAGTTTCCAGCTCTGCCACCAGATGCTGCGCTACAAACTCTGAATCCTTGGCGGAGTGTAGCAGCACGGCGTCGTACAACTTCTCGGACTCCTCACAGCGTGGTCCAAATACACGCACACCGTAGTGTGCAAACAGCCAAATACGCACTGATTCGCGAAATATGAATACAGTTACGACCATCGCAAGCATTATGACGAGTCCCAGCGCTATTGCCAACAGCGATAGGTAAGGCGTTGGTATGCCATGCTGCAGCATTGAGCCGCCAGCATAGTAATCGCTGCAGGCAGCGGTTGTATTGAAATCCAGCTCTCGTTTCTGCACCACACTTGTGCCGCTCACGCCTGCATCCACGCAATAGATGTCTTGCAGGTCTTGAACTATCAGCGCATTGTCAGCTACGTAGGCCGTGAGCTCTTGTAGGAATTTGCAGCGACAGCTCCATTGATTGCGACCCAATCCCAGTGTACGCATATTTTTGAATTGCGGTTGTTGTAGCTGCCACATGGCGAGCGTCACAAGGCGATTACCATCGATGCGCAGCACCTCAAGTGAGGCTAACGGTGCTAGTGTTATGTTGTCCAATGCAGTCAGTTGATTATTTTGCAGGTAAAGCTCGCGTAGGGCGAAGAGAAACTCAAATTCGTTGCCGTGCAGCGTGCGTAGGAGATTGTCTTCCAGGTGCAGCACCTGCAGTGAGATGAGACCGGCGAATGTGCGGTTTTGTATGCGTGCCACTTGACTGCCATTTACGTAGAGCGAACGCAGATTCTTGCGTCCAATGAAGGCGTGGTCTTTCAGCACTGGGAAGTTATTGCCATCCAGATAAACTACACTCGAGTCCATGGGCACACGTCGCGGCAGTTCGGTTGTCTGTTGGCCACCACAGTCCACTACATTCGTTGACCAAATCTGATCGTGATAGCAGGTGCAATTGCTCGGGCACGTCATTTCACAATCGCACGCATCAAAATCACAGCAGTGGCACAGCGCAAAACAATGTGACTCGTAACGGCACAGGAAGTCTTGTGGCTTGAGTGTGGTAAGTGGACGTACGGGCGCGCCACGTGCATGTGGCATGACGCATTCTATGTTCGTGAGATCCATTACGCGTGGATGCTGACGTGTGGTTAGGTTGTTGATGCGCTGCAGCCAGTCCATGGTGCAGTCACATTCGAATGGGTTGCCGCCAAGATAGAACTCTGGCAGCGGCTTGGCGGGTTGTACGGGTGCGACACGTAATTGCTGCAATTGCAGTTTGGACATGGCGTTGGCGTAAAGATCGACGCGCGCCAAATTTACCTTATCAACGAACGCGTTCGGATGCACAGTGCTGATTAGGTTGTTGTTGATAAAAAGCAACTCGATGGTATTCGGTATGGACATGGCGCCGATTTCGGTGATGCGATTGTGGCTGGCATCCAAAGTCTTCACACGTATCTCCTCTTGCAATTTATAGTAATTGCCCAACGCCTCAATGTAGTTGCCGTGTATGTCCAGCCATTTCAGGTTACTTGGGATGAAGGCATAGTCAAACCAAACGAGATGATTCTCGGAGAGATTCAGCCACAGCAATGAAACCAGTGTGGCGAAGACACCATTGATGTCGGAGAGGAAGTTGCGATCCAGGCGTATGGCCTCCAATTCAAAATTCTTGTCGAAAGCGCCACGCTCAATGGACTGTATGCGATTCTTGGCGAGATTGAGCACGCTGAGACGTGGCAGATCGGCGAACATGCCCACACTGATGTTGCCAATTTGGTTGTCGATTAAACGCAGACCTGTTAGCTGGTGTAGATTCTTGAAGCTCTGGTTATCAAAAGTGCGCATCTGATTCTCGCCCAAGTCGAGTGTGCGTAGCATGGCGAGATCTTGTAAAGCACGTGGCACCTCGTTCAACTGATTCGAGCTTAGATCGAGTTCCTTGAGATCCGAGCAGTTCTTAAACACATTCGGCTCAATCACTGAGATTAGGTTGTTATTAAGTGTCAGCTTTGAGAGCACATACAAGCCGTTGAAAAGTTTATCATCCAAAGTATGCAAACGGTTCTCGGCCAAGTTGAGCGTGTGTAGATTATAAAGTGGCAGAAAGGCGTTATCTTCAATGTGTCCAATCGAATTGTTGCGCAAATTCAAAATCTGCAAGAAATACAGCTCCTTGAAGGTACGATAATCGATGCGTGTCAACGCATTGTGCGCCAAATTCAAAACAATCAAACGTATCAGACCAGCAAATGTGGTATTGTCTATGTGATTCGAGGTCAGCTGATTGCCTGACAAGTCCACCACAAGCAACTGTTCCAAGCGATGAAAAAGACCTTTGGGCAGTTCATAAAGTTCATTGTGCTGCAAGTGTATCTCACGCAATTCCTTTGAACCGGCAAACAGACCATCGGGCAGTGTTTCCAAATGATTATTGCTCAAATTAACAATGCGCAGTGAACTCAAACCGGCCAACGCCTCACCGGACAACTCCGATATATTATTGTGTTGCAAATTCAATTGTTGCAGCCGCCTCAAGCGCGATATGCCCCAACTTTCTGTCACCGAACGCAGCTCATTAAAGCTGGCGTCCAAAACTTGCAACTCACTGCCACCATTACAATTCATATCGGCAAAACCGAGATTCTCCGCTGAACGTATACGATTATGCGTCAAATTTAACACTTGCAGATTCCCCACCGGACAGAGGAAGCCAGCTGGCAGTGCGCGCAAATTATTATCACCCAATTGCAATTCGGTCAACTGCTTCAAGCTATTCAACGAGTCCGGATAGAGTTCTAACGTTTTGCCGGGTCCCCAATCGGGATTACGCGTATTCACCGTCAACGAGCGTAACACATTCAAACCCTCGAATGCATTATTCGGCAATTGCAGCAATTTACATCCATCAATGCGCAGCACATCGAGCGTTTGTAAACGTGCGAAAGCCGCCTGTGGCAATTGTGATTCGAAGAGGTAGAGTGCGCTGCATTTGATCTCCAACTGACTGGTGCCATCAGCGCCCTGTAAATCGAGCGCAATGTGTCGTTCAATGGTGCGTAGATTACAGCGTACCGATGTTGTGCCATTATACTGCCAGGAACATTGATTTGTGGGCGCTGGCAATGACGCCGCTGCACTGTCACCCGTGGTGGAGGAGGAAGAAGCGGTTGACGAGCTCGCACCAGCAGACACGGCATCCTTATTAGACGCTGTTGATATGCCAGCACCGGCTGTTGCAGCAGCGCCCGCTATTGAGGTGGCCATCATGCTGGCTGCACTCGCTGAGGCGCCCTCCGAGGAGAGCGCATAGGAGGTTTCTGGCCTGTCGGCGCCCTTGATGTGCATGGCTGTGGCGCCACATATGCAATGGTTAATGAGCAGATAGCTTGTGAAGAGCAGCAGCGTGTAAGCGCTGTAGTTGTGGTGCTGTGTTTGAGGCATTGGCAGTCTGCTTAATTTGCACATGTTTGTTGTTTATTATTTTCTTATTATTTACTCTATTTGTTAGTGTTTCAGACACTTGAGCGCTTGCATGGATACGCGTTTTCTACGCGCTGCAGTCAGGTGGTAAGCGCTTTTCTTTAAATGCATTTAGATATTTTCATTTTTTTTAGTATATTAGCTTTGCACATAAGATTGTTGTTGTTTGTGTTGTAATCTTTTTTTTTTTTTGGAAAAAAAACTTTTTTTTTTGAAAATTTAAATTTTTAATGTAAATCGATTTTCATCACTCTCCGCAATTACGTCGATTTTAATTAATTTCCAATTCTCCTTGAGCTTTACCCAAAACACTTTACACTTTACTCAGTTCACCATAGGCATTCTTTTTCTTCATAAATTTTTCATTAACGAAAATTTTCACCCAACAATTTTCATGCAAAGCACGCAAAGCATATCACTTGTCAACGCAGTCGTCGTCGTCGTCGTCGTCGTTGAACTTTTTCACTACACCAGTTTATTTTATTTTTTGCTACTTTTCGTGCTACTAGCTTCCTTCGTAAATTACACACAAAAAAAAAAAAACTTTTTTATTGGCCTATACGCCTTTTATTTGTTGGGCGGCGTAGAGTAAAGCGCTTTGCACGACTTTTGTTTTCAGTCATTATTATTGACTTTTTCATGTACTCAACTACTTCGACTAGGCTGCTGCTTCGTTTTTCTTCTGCGCTTCACAAGCTGAAGCGTTTGCTTGTTTGCTGTTTGTGTATATGGAAAAAAGAAAAATTGAAAAACCCGTTTTTCACGTAAATTCACACACAGCCTATTATACGTCCGTTTATCGCGACGCTCGAACTCGAACTGATTGCAAACTGACAGCGAGCTCAACATTTTTACTCGTCGTACAACTAGTGCTTGGTCGCTGGCGTATTAGCAATTCGATTTGCTTTCGAGTCGGTTGGCTGTGGTAGATATGCTGCTGTGGCTGAAGCAAAAGCGACGGCAAAGAACGACGACAATGACGATGAAACAACAGCAGCAGCAGCGGCAGTAGTAGCGGGCACTCAATAATAGTACGAAAAGAGTGTTTGATTGTACGAGTTGGCTGGCAGAAAACGATGTTTGGTGCCACAAACAAGCGTTGAATGAAACGCACGCCACAACCACCCCAAAAGACGAGAAACGAGTTTTATCGCGCTCTCTAATAAACATTGCATGAAAGCAGTGCTCAAGGGCGAACTGAGAGTGATATGCTAGAGCGCTATTTTGTAGAGTTTACTCGCTGTTCGTTTGGGACACACAAATTTCACTGAGTAGCGCGAAAAATAACCATTGAAATTGTAGGAAAAATTGCAAAATTACGTTAAATAAATTTTAAAAAATTTTACTTCAAAAAATTATTTTTTAAAAATCCTTTTTTTTATGTTTGATATTTTTTAATATTTTATGCCCACTCAAACAAAATGAGTTCTCACCGCTTTGAGTTAATTTGTACAATAAAATATCACACTCTCACTTCGCGCTCTTGCCTTTTTTCGCTTCCGCTCTCTCTCTCTTTCTCTCAAACTTGCGTCTCTCAAATGTTTGAGCGTTTTTCCTTCATCAAACATAAATTATCATGTAATTCTCTACCAATTTACGTGCATTGTTCGTTGCTCTGTTTTCTGTCAAACTTCTTTGCCCAAAAAAAAAAAAAGGCCATCAAAAAATCCTGCTGCTTTTCACGTACTTTTCCTCACACGCTACGCCTTCAGGCTAACGATTATGCCAAGTAGGTTTTTCCTTTGTTTCCTTTTGTTTGTTCTTTATTAAAGCAAAACCTCTCTTTACATATATTATATTATTCGTTAATATACCAGCAGAGAAATAGCAAATTAAAAAGGATATTCATATTTGCTCGATATGCGCGCTTAATATGCTCGTTATTGTTCTGCGAGGCTCTTAAGGAAATGAGAATGTTGCATTTCCTAACATTTCATTACGTGTTTCCGTTTCCGCATACCGAAAGGATTTGCATTTTGCCTAATTTGAATTAGACGTTTTTTCCAGGACTAGTAAGGATATGCGTATATTTTGGGTGTATTATGTGTGGAAATTAGGCATGATTTGTGATCCTAAGATTTTCGAGACTTGAATTAATATTAAGTGTTAGAAAATGACACAAAAAGCTTACTCTTGACGTTTATGGTTCGATCCTAGAAGTTTTTTAATTATTCTGTTCTTTACACATTACTCATACACTGACTACTTACCTCAAAAAACTAAACTTTTATTTTAATTAACGCACTATTGACATATTCTACCTATTTCAGCCAGCTTCCCTTCCTTATGGCAAGAAAAAATCCGCTCACCAAAATGCAATTAAAAATTTATATTTTTTGTTTTTCCTTTGCCTGCTCAAAAATCATATTTCGTTATGCCGTCTCTACAGTCGTTCTATCTTTAATCCCCAGCAGCGTAATTGTACTAATTCCTTTGTAAATGCAAATATCCTTTTTCAATTCATGTTGTATGTGTAGTCACTCACACACACACACATACACACACACACATACGCGCGTGTGCATGCTGTTTTTCCGGCTTGTAGGTCGCTTGCTTCGTCACTCACCGCCCACTTGCTACTTGCTACGTCTAACACAGTTTATTCAACTCGCTGTAACCAAATTCGCTTTTCCAACGCCCGAAAATGAAGAAAAAATTAAAAAAAAAAAAAAACAGAAAAATAGAAAGCAAAGCAACAACAATAGCAAATGTTTGCAAGTACGTAAACTTGGCATTTCGGCAAATGTTTATGTTTGTTTTTGTTGTACGCCCATTTGTATGCTATTTTTCATTCATTTTTATTTGGCTTACTTCTTTCAGCCTGCAATAGGCATTTTGACACGCAGGCAAAGTGGCAAAGTAGCAAGCGAAGAAAATGTAAGTAAGAAAAAGCTTGGTGCAAAGCATGAAATATGATGAAGATGTAAAGCAAAGCAGACAGAAGAAATTACTGTCGGTAAATTAGCCATTTTCACACGAGCGCAACTCTCTGCCCGCACTGTACGATATGTCAGAGCGCTAGCAAATCGTGCAGATTTCAAAAGCCGAGCTGCGAATTTTTACATAAAAATGGTTGAAAAATTTTCACCGCTGCGGTTCCAAATGGCGCTTTAAGTCTGCTAACAGTGAGAGCGTAAGGATATTGAGTAATCACTGGCAAGCGCTGAGTGTATTCAGCTGCCAGGATGTTGGAGAGAATTGAGTGTGAGTTATACTACCAGGATGTTGAGAGTTGACTAAAAAGAGCTGGTTGACCATAACTTTACGTCGTGACTTATAAACTACGCTCTATGTTGGGAAACTCAGTTAGTGGCATTAAATAATAATTTATAACTGCAAATTTGCCAATTGGAAAAACCAAACTTTGCGGATTTTTTCTTAGTAACGTCAAGGGATATATGCTATTACTGGAATTCATTGTAAAATTTTCAACTTTCTGAGAGAAAATATTTTTCTTCTCTTAGCTTGGCATTTGGAAGATTTTCGCTTATACTTCATAATTATGCCTTAAATCATTCATTGTCAGCTCAAGTTCTTAATTCCTTGAATCTTTCAGTGTAGCTGCGTCCTGAGACAACCTTGGTGTCGAATTTATAACCTGTCTCGAAAAGACTGCTATTGTAAGCTCGAGTCTTTTCCAAGATTTGAGCAAGTAACTATTGTTTATTGGTATTTACCGATCAATGCTTTCGGAATTACTTTCCGACTCTCCCAGCACGATCTCAAGTACAGTTTATGACTTTAATTCCAAAAGAAAACTGGCCGAGTAGTTAGGTTAGGTCCAGTTTGAGTCGAAAAACGGCATGGTAAATGATTTTTAGTGAGAGCATGCCTTAAAAATGAGATTATATCGTTGATTTTTAAGAAAACTGTTCTTAAAGATAGGATTTCTTAGGTAAAAGTAGCTAATGACAGCTGATATTCAAAATGAAAAAATTTTAGGCAGTGATTATAAAATAAAGGAGAGCTTACGATTATTTTTTCCTATAGAATAGTTTGGTTTGCTTAGTTTAGCATCCCTAATGAAAACCGTTGTCCAGGAAGAACGAGTTTTAGTGAGTAGGTATGATCGGAAGGAGATCTTGTGCCCATTTTTATGAAGGAAAGCGACATAAAAGATGGGTTATGTCCAATTAAAGTCACTAAGAAGAGTGGATGTTCGAGAAGAACGAGTTTTTGCGAGTAAGTTTGATCTGAGGGACTCATTCTGTATGTAATATTTGATCTTCGGTAGTTCTTATGCCTATGCGTTATGACAAATTAATGCCAACGACAACTAGAATCCAAAAGAAACAAGTTTTATTGAACCACTAGTATCCAAAAAAAAAGGGGGTATGAAGAAAACTGGTCTAAAAGCCGGGTTTCATTTGGTTAGGGTCACTAACGACAGCCAACCACCAACCAGAATGGTTTTATGAGTTATTATGATCGGAAGTCAAGATTGTGCCTGTTATTTACAAAGAGAGCTGATCGCATGAATAGATTCCGTCAGTTGAGTGTCACTAACGACAGTTGGAGTTAAAGAAAACCTGTTGGAATTGCGACTAGGAAATCACATGAATTTTTACCATTTGCAGCGTGCTAGAATGAGATGACAATAGCCTTTTGTACGATGTCTTAAGTACCAACCTACCAAGTGTAATTTAGTAATATTTTAGGGTCTCATTTAATGTGCTCAAATAGTAGTTGCACTTCCTTGTGCCACTGCTGCGGTTATACCATTTTCGCTATTCTTGTGAACGATGTCTCCTCTGAGGGAAGCAGAAGGAAAACAAGATCACTAAGACAACACCGTAAGAAAAAGACAAGGTGGAATAGAACCTCACGGCTACAATAAGAGTAGGTTAGGGCACGTTACTCCAGTAAAGAAGAAGATTCCTGAGAGTAGGTATATATCAGCGCAGAAATCTTTTACTGATTATGTATATACATATATCAATGGCGGTCATTCGGAAGATACGGGTTCAAAATACTTTCTAATAGCGGTCGCCACTCGGCAGGGAATGTCAGCCCCTCCGAGTGTATTTCTGACATGAAGCTCCTCATAAGAAACCATCAGCCGCTCGAAAGCGTCTTAGTAAAAACTGGAAAAACATCAAGACCACAAATCTGAGGAGGAGCTCGGGCGATGATCGCTTCAACGATTGGTACTTTGTAACCGATGAAGCGATTTTCGCCCGATTTGTGATATGCGTCTAAATGTCGATGCCTTTCCAACAAATGGAGGAACATACAGCTTATTCTAAGCTTTCTTCGAACTCCCAATGGATTCAGACTAGGAGGGCTTGACATTGCCTGCCGACTAATTGCTTAGGAATTTTCAGGACCCCAGAGTGACTAAATGATCTTAGTGAACCGGAAATGAAATAAGTGCACCCGAGCCATATTACTGCCCCTTCGCAATATATTTGTATAAATATTTGTATATTAAATAACTAATTGTGTTTTTCCCACAAAATTGATTTAATATTTAATTGGGAAACTTTCTTACTCATTCAAATGGATTTTCCCAAACAAATTCATGCAACAAATTCACATTCTCTCGCTGTTTACATTTGTGAGAGCAGAATTTTCATTGTTAAAATTTTCTTTGAAGAAAATTCACACTCATTTTCGCTGTTAAGGCTCACTCATATTCCTTTGTAGAGTTTTCAGTTGAATTTACTCATTTTATTTACGCTCTCCTAAGTAGCGCTCAGAAAACAAATTTCGGAGAAAATCTCTTGCGCTCAAGTTGTAGCACATTCGTACTCAAAATTTTCTACTCATTACTCTCAGAACGCTTTACAACTAAATTTGAGCACGCAAGTATTGCAATGCAAAATTTTAATGTATCAAACAAAGCAATTAAATATCCAGAGATTCATTGCATGCTGAAAGTACATAAATAAGCATCAGCAGCAGCGGCAGCGCTGTCAGCAGCTGAGACGCGGTGAGTCAAAGAGTAGGCATGTCTTTTCCTTCAAGTGCAATGTT